GTTCCGGTCTATTTCCCGCAACAGCTGTTTGCAATCTCTAGAAGTCACACAAGTGAATGGGTCTCTACGCCATAGGGCTAGGGTTTAGGTTTTAGGGTTTAGGGTTTAGGGTTTAGGGTTTAGGACCTCCTGGAAGTCCTTGAGGTCTATTTGCCCGTCTCGGTTCCGGTCTATTTCCCGCAACAGCTTTTTGCAATCTCTAGAAGTCACACAAGTGAATTGGTCTCTACGCCATAGGGTTAGGGTTTAGGGTTTAGGGTTTAGGGTTTAGGGTTTAGGGTTTAGGACCTCCTGGAAGTCCTTGAGGTCTATTTGCCCGTCTCGGTTCCGGTCTATTTCCCGCAACAGCTTTTTGCAATCTCTAGAAGTCACACAAGTGAATTGGTCTCTACGCCCTAGGGCTAGGGTTTAGGGTTTAGGGTTTAGGGTTTAGGGTTTAGGGTTTAGGACCTCCTGGAAGTCCTTGAGGTCTATTTGCCCGTCTCGGTTCCGGTCTATTTCCCGCAACAGCTTTTTGCAATCTCTAGAAGTCACACAAGTGAATTTGTTGCTTTTCAAAAGTTTTTCAATTTCATTCAACTTTATGCTTTTGTTGCCCTGCGCGTCCGTCGCTGCACGCAAACCCTAAACCCTAAACCCTAAACCCTAAACCCTAAACCCTAAACCCTAATCCCTGGCGAGCCAAACGAGCCGCCCGCAGCCCGCCCCGTGCCCGCAGCAGCAAACCCGCGGCCGCAGCGAACCCTCGGCAGCAGCAAACCCTTTGCATCGCCCAGGTGGCCCCTAACCCTAAACCCTAAACCCTAAACCCTAAACCCTAAACCCTCACTCGCGAATTTCTCAAATTCCAGCTGCACGTCGACGCCGCTGAAACCCTCAAAGCCTTCCTTCAAAATCTCCTTGTCAAGCTGCAACGCCAAACCCCAAACCCTAAACCCTAAACCCTAACAAACCCTTCTAGCGCCCTCATCGCAGAGCACGCAGCTGAGAGAGCGCAGGGTCTAGGGTTTAGGGTTTATGGTTTAGGATTTTCCGTTTGAGCAAGACTAAGCGAACTTCAGAAAGGTCTAGGGTTTATCCATTAGGGTTTAGGGTTTAGGGCAGCGACTGCTAGAGTCCAATATATGCAGGCACAAATAAGTGCACCTTCAAAAGGTCTAGGGTTTAGGGTTTAGGGTTTAGGGTTTTTCTTGCCTCATATAGAGCCTCAACAAATTCTCCAAAGTCTATCAAGTTGTTCTTGTCCTTGTCATACTCTGTAGACCCAAACCCTAAACCCTAAACCCTAAACACTAAACCCTAAACCCTAGGTCAGAGTCTCTAAGCCTTCACAAAGCGCAAAACCCCTGTTGCTTCTCGTCTTCTGGAATGCGCCCGCCCCTGCAACCTTCATGAGGGTTTAGGGTTTAGGGTTTAGCTGAGATACTGGATTTTTTTTTGCGCGGAATTCGCTGCAGACGCAGCTTTTGCTGCCTGGGACTTCGCGGGCAGTCCTAGGGTTTAGGGTTTAGAGTTTAGGGTTTACTTTCGATTTTTTGGATTTTGTCGAGAGAAAATTCTGCTCTTTTCTGTAAGTCTGCTCTTGAGATCCTTCCGTCTGCATCTTTATCGAAAAGGTCGAAAACTCGTCGCCACTCGAGCAAATCTGGAAATAAAAGAAGAAAAAGGGTGGAAAATAATGAATAAAACAAAAATATTAAAACAATTTGCAAAAAGAACAATTTTAATTCAGCAAATTCCAAAAGCTTTCGCAAAAACGGACTTCGCCCAAAACGCCCGTTCCACGGGGTGTACGTACACCCCGCAGCAGCGCCAACAAGAAACCACCAAATTTGATCAAACTGCTTCTCATTTTGAGACAAAAGGAGAATATTTTGTGAATTGATTCAAATAAATGCAAAAAGTATTAAATATGATCGCAAATAAATGCAATTTCGCGAAAAATCGAATTCAAATAAATGCACTTTTGCCAGATTCAGGTGTACGTACACCGCAACGCGCAGTTTGCAAACGTGAAAACGGCCGAAGTTAAAACAGTAAATAAATCATAAATAAATAAATAAATAATAAATAAATAAAAAAATAAATAATCAAACAGTTCACAAGAAGGCCATCAGAAATGAACAAGTGCAGATTTTTTTGCTGCAAAATTCAACTTCTGAACGGCAACAAACAAACGCCAAATAAAAATAAAAAAATAAAAATAAAATAAAATAAATTTAAATAAAATAAAAAATTTATTTTTAATTCCAAAATAATGTTTTACTGAAGGAGAGGTCTAAAAAAATAGAAGAGTATTTTTGCTTTTATTTGCATAAAAAGATATTTGCACCTGATGCATTCGGGTTCAACTGCAGCAGCAGCAGCAGCAGCTGCAGCAGCAGCTGCAAGAGCAGCTGCAGCAGCAGCAGCAGCTGCTGCTGCTGCTGCTGGTGCATCTACGGCAGCAGCAGCAGCAGTAGCAGCAACACGAGCAACGACAGCAGTGCGACAGCAGAAGCGACAGCAGCAGCAGCAGCAGACGCAGTAACATTAGCAGAAAGAGTTGCAACAGCAGCAACAACAGCAGCAGCAGCAACTGCAGCGGGAGCAGCAGCAGAGGAATCAGGGAAAGCAGCAAAAGCAGCCACACAGCAGCAGTCGCAGCAACCGTAGCAGCAACAGCATCTTTCGCAGCAACACAAGCAGCAGCAGCACCAACAGTGACAGCAGCAGCAATTAAGTAGCAGCAACAGCAACCGCTGCCGCAGCAGCAAAACGGCAGCAGCAACAGCTGCAGCAGCATCAATAACCACGACAGCAGCGGCGGCAACCACAGGGGAAGCAGCAAAACAACCACGACAGCAGCAGCAGCAACCGTGCCAGCAGCAACAGCAGCAACAGAAGCAGCAACGACAAGAACAATGCTGTAGCAGCAGCAGCAGCAGCAGCAGCAGCAGACCTTCATCGCTGAATTCCTCAAGGGAAGGAAATGCTTCTCTCCAGCTGGCGATTTGCTGCGGGTCGTAAGTTAGCTGCCGCTCGCTCTTGGCCCAGTAAAGCCGCTGCTGCTGCTGCTGCTGCTGTGCTGCTGCTGCTGCTGTTGCTGCTGTGAAGGAAAGATAGGCGGAGCTGCTGCTGCAGCGACGCGCGGAGACGGCCGCAGGAGCAGCACGCACTGCTGCTGCTGCTGCTGCAGCAGGGCAGCTAGCTGTCACTTTGCTTGCAGGAGCAGGCGCTGCTGCTGCTGCTGCGGCAGCAGCAGCAGCAGCAGCAGCTGGCAGATGAAGTGACAGCGGAAGCAAAAGGCGGCAGCTGCTGCCGCCTAAGGCTCTGTGGGGCACCTTAAGCAGCATGGTGCAGCAGCAGCAGCAGCAAAACAAGCAGCAGCAGCAAACAACTGCACTCACAACAGCAGCAATAGAAGCACAAGCAGCAGCAGCAGCTGCAGCAGCCTCAACACTGCGCGAAGACAAAGACAGCTGCAGCAGCAGCAACAGCAACAAAGAGCTAGCTTAATAGTATTATATGAGGCAGCACACTAAAATAGAGTTAGGTGTTTGCAACAAGACAGCAGCATTAACAGCAGCAGCAGCTGCTGCTGCTGCTGCAGCAGCTGCAGCAGCAGCAACAGCGGCAGCCCCAGCGCAGCAGCAGCAGGTCACACGTGTCTTCCAGCTTAGATGCTGTTGCAGCAGTTGCTGCAACAGCAGCAAAGACTCAAAATGATTAAAACTGACCAACAGCCGCAAAAATTAGCTTAACAGCAGCAGCAGCTGCTGCTGCTGCTGCTGCTGCCGCAGCTTCTGCTGCTGCCGCAGTGTCGGCGGTGATGGCAGCAAGTTTAATAACTCCGAAGCACTTAATTGAGCAGATGGCAGCAGCAGCACGGCTGCTGCTGCTGCTGCTGTTGCTGCTGCCGCTGTTGGATGAGGCTCTCTGCCTCGGGCTTCGCCGTGCTGCTGCTGCGGCCTCGAGCCCGGCCTTCTTGCTGCAGAGCAGCAGCAGCTACTGCAGCAGCAGCAGCAGCAGCAGCAGCTGCTGCTGCTGTTAA